CATGGGCTACCAACCAACTGGTCAGCATTTTCATGAGGGTCTGAACGGGTCAGCTGATACCACTGAGTGACAGCACGCAGCACCTTCGTATTAGATGCAGCCTTTGCATAATTTACGAAGATAACGGCCGAGGATGCAAGTAAGTGCTCGCCCGGTGACCAAGAGGAACTGGAAATTGGAGACGCCCCATTGTTGCCTGTGATGTATGTCGTGAACGGCCTTAGGACTACGTGAACTATTTTTTTTCAAATATAACCTGCACTAAAGGACCAACTGATCATTTTGTGAGCAATCATTTCTAGTTTCAAATTACTTCACGCTTAATTTAAAAGAGATATATCCTTCAGGAAACATGTCAGCTGTCTAAACTGTCCTGCGCTCTTGGCGTGCACGGACTTCGAGAGTTCAACGCAAGTAAGTAAATAGATGATGAGAAAGATAGCAAATATGCCGTTGGCTATTGTGACCGAAATTATCTCTTCGATTTTAGATGTTTTCGTTTAAATTTTGAATTGCTGTTCATGCTCTCTTATCAGTGTCACTGGCAGAGGCCGTTTCACATCCTTCTGAAAAAAAACACGCCAGTTCGGGAAATGTTTTCTCACAGTGAAGTATTTTTTAGCAAGTTCATTCAACCTCACTTTGAGAAATCCTTAATAATACTGCTTAAAAAACTAAAGCCTAATCATTGTTCAGTCTATTAACCTTCAGCGCTCTGCAGTTGCCTGTGATATACCATCTGCTAGAAGGTACCAATGATTCAACGTCTCCCTGGCTACTAAAATGCATTAGTACAGCACTATATCTTCTAGGGATTGATGCAGAACCAGTATGCAACGCGAGCTCCACTTTTTGCTAGAAATCGCGGTAAACGAAGCTGTGTTTCCTTGTTCTAGGAAAGCAAGTGTTGACTATCTCGATTCGGATTAATTCGCCGATTCAACACCAGGCGACATGAATTCATTTCCATTACGACGTCTGTGTTATTATGTGTCGGGTTGCCCTCCAAGGCGGAACTTTAATTCAGTCAATATCTTCTTCACAGAGTTATTCAGTCCATCACACTATCATATGCTCGCAGTGACCGAAGGTTTGAAAGCTTTTCAGGGCATCACTGGCCAGACATGGACATCCTCAAT